TTTAGTATTAGTATTGTCAGACCGCCACCCCCCCAAAAAAAAAAAAAAAAAAAAAAACATCGCAAATGGTGTTTTAGGGGAGCTCATGTGTTGTTAAGCTCTTAAACTCCTCCTGCTGTTCGCACCCTGGGTAAAACATGCAGGATCATCTGGGGGAAGTCTCACACACACAGTGAATACTGAGCTGCAGAGAAAATGAAACAGTGTGTGGTTTATGGAGGTTAGCTACAAAGTGTGTTTTGTATTTTTGTATTTTATTTCAACTAACATTATTAATCTTGGAGTCCTCATTTCCACAAATTTCCAAGAATATTCTCACCAAGATTAGGACATACAGTAAATAGATGTCAATCTCCCTTAAATTATCCCTTATTTTCCAGGCATGTTTAAACTCAATTTACTGGACAAAAAGACCTGTATCTGGAAAGATCCAATGGTATCCACGTTTATGGAAATCCAGATCTGTATATCATATCAAATGAATGAAAAACCTGTCAAAGATCCATATCTGTAATATTCTGGATAGGACAGTATCTGTCCATATCCAAACGTATCACCACCTTGGATACAACTGTATTTTTGTACATTTATTCCAGTGACTGCTCTTAATAAAACAAACACACACGCACACACAAAACCTGTGTCAAAAATACCATTGGCTTTATTCTCACAGAAATATGAAGTTATTGTTTTTTTATCAAAGAGGCTGAGACCATGTAAAAAACTTTTATGCAAGAGGAATCCATATAATTGGTTGCATATCAATTAATGTATGAATTAACATCCTTTACCTGATGAACTAATCACAAAGTCATAGTGACTTTATCATTTGGAATCCATGATGCATGCATTACCTAAGGATAATGATTTGTACCCTTATTGTACTGTACAATTTAATTATTTGTGGCTTTAAGATGCTGCTAAAATTTATAAAACACCTGCCAATGTGCTGTCATGCTGTCATATAATGCAGCTGTTGGTCAGTAAATGCGTTAAATAGAGATAATGCAAATGGCCACTTTACCCTCAAAACAGTCAGCTGTCACATATTTTCTATCATTATATTCATTAAATGAGTTGGGGCCTGGGTCAGGTAAGTGTTTCCTCTTGTGCGCAGGTAAGTGTGCATTTGCCTGTTGTGAAATCATCAGCCTATGACAGAGCGGACTCTGATTCATGTGTTTCTTGAAGGATAAAATATGGCAGATGAAACTGAAGCTGATCCAGAAAAAAAAAATCCGCTCATGTTCCCTGATTCACATCTAATCTGCATCAGACCTGACAGCAGCACACTGAGCTCAGATCAGCCAGCACATCTCCGCCTTTGTCTCGGACACCTTACACTGTGCAGGTCCTGACACACTGATGGTGAGTTTTAGTGGTAGCCTGACAAAGCTGTCTCTGTGCCAGCAGCGGTGTTTAAAATGTGGACCTCCAGGGGCCCCTGAAGGCGCCTGGAGGAGGTGTAGGAAACTTTCAGCACCATTTTATCCTTCAGATATTACAGTCTGAAAATGAACCAGAGTTGATGGTTGTAAAATTTAACAATAACTCAAAGATGAAACTCTTCCTTTACAGTTAGAATTTGAGCTGTTTGCAGTCTAATGGGAGATTTAGTTAAACAATCTATTACATGGCCCTAAAAATGGCTTTGGGCCTTCATCCAGCAGCTTTTTAGGACCTTTTTGAATTAGACTGTCATTATTCTAAATGATGTAGTTCTTACCAGTGACCCCAGCTTTCGAAAAAAATTCTATATTATTTGTTTCACTCAAAATGAACCAGAGAAAGTCATTGCAGTCACCTCATGTGTACAGTTCAATATTCAACATGAAACCTTTAACGACTAAATCTAAATAAATGTGTTTGAGATCCAGGCCGTGCAAACCAAACCGAGACCCACAGGGCAGACAGACGATTCAATGGGAAGACGGTATGATGGTAAAACATGCAGGGATCATCACAGTAGGTCTCACACACGTGCATAGTGAGTTGCAGAGAAAAATTAAAATGTATGGAATTTGGCTGTAAAGTGATGAGTTCTTGTATTCTGGTCACTTTTCCAGTTTATTAATTTAGCTGCTTATCTATTGTGGTTTTTAAAATTTTGTGCAACCGATGTTACTAATTTTGGAGTGCTTATTTCCAATAATTTAATTAAAGTGTTTTGAATCACCATTTTACCTACTCACTATTAGGTAATACAGTAAATAAATGCCAGTCTCCTTTTAATATTGCATTTTAGAGGCCATCTCTCATCTATCTAAAGAGAATTTTCTTATGACTCAAATTCTAAATCAAATTTCAACCAAGTAACTTATTCTGCATATGTTTGCGTGTTCTAATGAACCTCACCACACAACTGTTAGTTTAAACAAATAGTGAATGAGTGAAAATGTGTAGATATTTGTAAGCTATAATATTCCCATGTAGGCCAATCTACCGTAATATATACAATAAAATGCCAAAATGTATGCTAACATTGCACTTTATTCTGTAAAAATATTTACAGAAGGATATTTGATGATTTTTTAATTGCATGATTTCTGATAACTGGCCTGTGTAGCGTAATTTTAATGGTTAAAGCTACACTGCAAATAAATCCATAATTACATGTCAGATTTAGTCAGTAGACGTGTGATACAACATTTATGTTTTTAACTTTGTCTCAAACAGTCTTCACAGTGGGTGTCAGCTCAATATTGTCATAACAAAAGTAGTAATTTGGAAACATGGAAACCAGTGCTGCAGTGATGTTCCTGCTAATTTGCATTTGGATGTGTTTTGCTGGTCTCAGCAGAAAAAGAGTGACCTCAGATCTGACTGTTTGGATAAGATTAGCATGCAGCATCAACTGTTGGCAGTTGCTTTAATAAAACAACAAATGAATGTAATCCCTCAGGTCCAGAATCATGGGGGGAATCTTTCTGCTGGTTGCTTCTGAGAAATTAAGCTAGCAGGAGGTCCACAAAGTTCTATCTAAAGTCACTACATTGGAAACAATGGATGATAAAGCTTCACTGTGTTAGCCTGAAACGGAACAATGTTACAAATATGAACCTGGTTAGCTCGCTATCCTGAGTTAGTAACAAATAATTATTTATCAAACACAATGTTTATTATGATTTAAGTACCATTCTCACTAACACTAGCAGGCTAAATTGTTTATCTTTTAACATAGTAGGCTAAACGCTAAAGAGAGTGCTGTCAACATAGTTAACGCTAACTGCTAGCATCACTGTAGTGTTAGCATGCTTTATTCCGGTCAGACATGTTTCTAGTTAAAATGTTGCTTGCTAACCAAGCTAATGGTAAAGTTTTGAAGTGAAGCCAGTGGTGTTACTATCACATCCTGATCGTTTGACTCAGTTTTAATAGTTTCAGTTGGTCTGAAGATGATTGCTAAGCGTTCAGTTTCTCCACTGGTGCATTGTATACACAGCTATATGGAGTATAACCACTTATATTTCAGTCAGTTTTGCCAATTGATTTTTTCCCCTAGGATGGTAAAGGCATGGCAATACATGATTGGCTGATGTATGGAATAAGGAATACACTTAAATAGCTTAAATAAATTATGTAGCTGTCTCACTTTATAGTCTGTGTGCCAGTATTGATGCTTTGTCTGTAGCTAATGTTAATTGATCCTTACTGCCGGAAGTTAAGCAGCAGAATTTAAGTGAAAATGTGCAAATACTACTGGCCCATTTTTGGTGAGCTAAATAGGCAAGAGTAGGGCATTTACCCTTTGCTGGATGGGGCATAAATAAACAGTATACATATTTCTTTAGCCACCACTCCACTACTGAGTTTCTCTTGTTGAAAGTTCCCAAGTTGGGACTCAACACCAACAGCTTCCTCCTAGCAGGACGTTGAGGACCTGGAGACTTTAAAGTTCGCTCCATTTACACCCAGATTGACTTTAATCAGTGAGTTGTGCTGACTTTAACAGGACACACAATGTTTTACGCTAGAATACATCCCTGCGACGTTTAAAGCTCACTATTTTAGAATTTCTTCTCAAAATGAATACACAACTAAGTGCACAAATCTGTTTAACACTGACATGATGTGTGTCGGTTCTTGTTAAATACAAACTGTTTTGTTGTTTATCATATTCGTTAAATGCTTCAAAAGTGGCTCTGATGAATTAGAATTTGTGTGAATAATAAATGTTTGTAATGAAATGTTGAAATCAAATAAAAAGTTTCAAGTAAAAACTGTAGTTTTCCTCTCATACTTGTTGCATAATTCTGAATTCTGAACTTTTCCTCTGAATAAAGCGAAAGAACAACATCCTGCCAACTGGAGCTTATTTCAGCTTTATTCATAAGGGAGTCTTGCATATAAACCTAAATAAACACATTTTTTAATGGTCTTGGTTTTTTTATGTGTTCATTCTGTTGTCAACTCGTACTGTAACAGATTTTATTTTCTAATATACAGGACTGGAAATACAGGCATACTGTTTTTAATTTAAAAGCGTTTCAGGCGCTGAAGTTGTTATAAGTTATGAATTTAATTGTCTGTGCAAACGTTTTCTGGCCATCTCTTCAAGTTTGGATGTGTTCCACCGTAGCTGGGCAAGGACCCCTTTTTAATTTTATGACTAGTAGCGCTTGAGCACATCGATGAGATGAAATAAAGCCTACAAGGAATAATCCGGCGCTAATCTAATTTCATTTGAATTAGTTAGAATGGTTTGAGTCCAATGTTTTACTTTGTTAAAAAAAAATCTTTGTGTAAGAGTTTTGGGACTTGAAGGTTTTGTGCTGATTAGCAGAGAAACAAACATGCCCTCTCGTCTCTCTGCTCTCTCAGAACAAAGAGCCAGAGTCGCCAATAAAAAGTCCCTTTAACAACACTTTACTGCCTGTTAAAAAATATGGTACTAATTACCAGTGGTACTATGTGCTGATGGTCACTGCCGTGGTGGAAATCTGAACGGCACAATTAGGAGCAATCAGAGTGAGAAAAAAAGACAGTTTCATTTCCTTAAGTTTTTATTATGGTTTTTCTTGCATGAATGCTGGGAAATAAGTCAGTATTTTACAATCAAACTACTGGCAACATTTGCTTTGAATTAAAATGAGTGGATTCATGCCCTCATTCAGTGACCGAGCAACAGCAGGCCTTCATGCAGCCAGTCCGACAACACTCACACATTGTGGGATTGTACTATTATCATTTAATCTCTAAAGGTGACTCTGGAAGTGCATTTCAGAAGTCAAACATTCTGCTTCGGACAAACTAACAGGCAAAGTATGTTTAATAAAGGAAGTTCTGATTATCAAAGTCAATCTTAGCTACTACATTTAAGGAAAATACTTTTTTAGAGATCTATAACTAGAGGCAGGAGAAAAAAAAAGATTTTGGTCAAAAGTGGCTAATGTACAAAATACAGCATGACGGCTATTACTCCGCTCAATTAAAGTTTACTCTCTGGAAAGGCCGAGTGGGGGAATATATCTAAATGATGTCAGAAACATATCTCAATTACACCGTAAACATCTAAATTACTTCAGCAACGTAGTAATAGTGTCATCTCATTACTGCATCTTTTGTCAAATGTAATTACATGAAAATCAAAGGCATGAGAGGAGCAAATTTAATCAAAAACATTTAGCAAGAGGCCATGAGAGCAGCACACACACACACACACAGAGGGGAAAGGAGCTGCTACACGTCACTGACTGGAATAAACATTTTTTCCTCTGTCTGAGCTCCCCCTTTCTTATGGCTCATTCAGACAACAGGGACACCGTAAAACTTCAAACACACTCAGAGAATGATGGCGGGCGGAGGAAACAGCAGACATCGGCCGCAGAGAGGAGAGGACGGCTGGTTCTCTGACGTCTGTGTCTGATTCAAAGCTACGACAAGGTAACAGGCAGGGTCGGATGGATGTGCTGGCCTGGAACTGGGTCTCTTATTAGAAATCTGATAATGAAAACAAAGGAGGTTCCTCCCCGACCACACACTGTATCAAAATACTCTGCTTTGATGAAATATTTCTGCACTTTAGATTTGGTTAATTGCTCAGCAACACTCAGAAATTAGTTTTTAAAAGGTTACAATAACTGTCTAGATGTTTTCACCCTGACATGAATGGAGTTGGAGGATAAACACTATATTCATTTCAATATTGGCATTAGAATGGTCAAATTAAAAATAATTGGAAATCTCAATCTCTTAATGAAGCTGCCATTGGCAAAAGTGCCACTGGCAGCTTCATTAAAAAAACATATCAGCCTTCAAATCCAAACCAAGAAATAAAATGTATGTAGCTGTGATCACACTTATTTGTGCCCAGCTGTATGAGAACAGAAAAAAACACTGCACAGAGAAACACAAATCCTGGACACGATTTGGTTTCAGCTCAACACATCAGTCTGTGAATGTGATGCTGCATGGACAGATATTTGGGGGTCAGGTGGGGCAGGTGGGCTGGACGGCGGCGGCTGCTCCTGGAGGAGAGGTGGGGCTCTACGGGAAGTTGGTAGGGAAGAGGCTTAGTGGCTGGCTCTCGTTGGTGGGCAGGGGGGAGCGATAGCCCTCGAAGTTGCGTGGGATGCTGCCGCTGGTGGAACCCGAGCTGTTGCTGAGGGTCTCAATGCTGCCCTCCCTCTGCAGCTCTGCAGGGAGAGAGACACAGACACAGACAGAGAGAGGAGAGAAGAGAGAGAGAGAGAGAGAGAGAGAGAGTGTTGCCATCAGGTGATCTGTTTTAAACAACAAACTGAACAACAGAGCTGTGTGTGTCCACATGCACAATTTGTCTTCTGACATAAACAAAACTCCCTCATTATAAGGCTGGGAATCAAACCTAAATACTGAGTACCAAATGAAATCTGTCTGCAGCATCAGTATTTAAAAACAGAAGCACCTAACGTTGCTGTTGCATTTCAGGTCTTGTTTGCATTTTCTTTGATCAGATACTTCCTGATGTTAGTCACATTTTTTAAAATCAATTTTGAATTTTATTATGTCTGCTTGTGAGAAGACAGGGTGGGGCCAAAACTGGCCCACCAGATGTTTCTAGTGGAAATCTTTTTTTTTTTTTTTTTATATTATATGAACATTAAAAAAAAAAAATATATATTTATATATATATATATATATATATATTCTTAAACATGAGGGATCCCTAGTTATGAATTATTTTTTATTATCTGAGCACAATGGGGAGGAAGTCAGTGAATCAATGGAACATGGAATCCTAGCTCCATAATCTTTATACACTGTCTAAGCAGTTTAGCTTGTTCTGTTACACTGTGGCGGTACTGATTCCCCAGGTCTTAACTCAAGGAAAAGGAGCCTGAGAATCAGTTCCCAAGTGCATAATAATAATAAAAAAATGAAAAAAACACCTTCACAAATGGGTATGGGGGTTTAATGAAAACAAACCAATAAACATAAATAAGTAAGCCTACGGGGCGCCGATTATTGTGAGGAAACACAAATTACCCTACAGACTGTCCTGGCCAAGAACTCTCAGTGGGTCCTGAAGTTTCACACTGCCTATATCTCATAGTGTGAGTTCTGCACCAAACAGAGGAAGGATCAGAAGGTCCTTGGGTGAGCAGTTCCCCACCTCTCTTATTCCTTCAAGAACAGTCACACCCTGATTGGCCGAGAGGGGAACCACCAAGCTGCTCTCCATCATTGCTGAGCAGTCAGTCCCCACCGCCTGTGCAACAGGTGATCTGAATGATCCTCTCATCAACCCAGAGGAATGTTTACAAAGAGCCAAGATGAGCAGCACACATTAATGAATGAATGAGGGACTGCTACAAACATGGTAGAAAAAATTATTTAGATTAAAATACTTGTACAAGAAACCAAAATGTTTTGGTTCAGCTCCAATATTAAAAGGGTTAAGGGGAGCTTAAAAACTTGGATCTTATATGCGTACTTTGTGCCATCCTGTTGCTAATATGATCAAACCAAGTGTGACAGGTCAAGAAACATGAGCACTCATGTGATCAGAGTGGTTGTAAATAAACCCAGGTTAAATTATCTGAAAGGCAACTGCAAAATTATTACCCAGCTTTGACCTTCTGTACTCACTGTAGTTGTGTTTGTTCAGTGTGGGGTTACTACCAACATTTCGGGTGCACTCGCTGGTTCAGATAATCTGGATAAACTGTTTCAAACATTACAAGATATGTGAGATTTCTAATTCACAAAGTTTCAGCTTTAATTACTCATCGGAGCACTTTGAACCTGCTTTTGTGGATATCAGCTATTCTGTGACAAAACCAAACTGCCCGCTTCTCCCAGCATTCTCTGGGTGAAACAGAGCATTTCTCTGACATGTCACGTTGCTGCACAACCCTTCAACATCCCTCACTGTGGACTAACCGAGCTGCAGGATCCCTCCATAAGGAACCTATTACTGTTATTATTACATGCTGTAAACCATATCTGTCGATATATGGACAGAATGGCATGTGTGCAAGTGGCAGCACAGTATTAAGACTGTGATGCATGTAGTGTATTGTGACGTCCATCAGGCTATGTTTAATCTGCTGCCTGGCTGCTCCGCTTACATTGGTCCACGCCCTGTGAATGTGCGGCAGCGTGCATCCATGACAGAGTATGACTGTCGTCAACAAATTGAGAGAGCAGGATTTGATAATGCACGTACTTGAGAACAAAAGTGAACATGGTCACAGCCACTACATGGAACATGCTCCTCAGGGCTGTGCACAGACAAGGGGGTCCTTCACGTGGCTGCTTCTCTCATATTTGTACATCTAATGTTTTTTTTAACCTGCCTTCTGACAAGAGTTGAATCAACCAATTGGCTCTTTTGACGTACAGGTCTAAGTTCTGAAAGGTTTGTACGTCAGCTCCTTTTAAGGCCTCTGATATTTTTTTTTTCCTGGTTTGGCTTTTTGGTTATGATGATGTGTTTAGAAAGCCCAAAGGGTTTTGCCATACTATGTGACCTCCAGATGTGTGTGTTATATGTTATGTGTGTATGTGTGTATTACTAGTCTAAATGTTTTTTTTTTTAAATTGCCAATTTTCTGGAGAGTTGAGGCATTGCTGCTAGGAAAAAGCATCTCATCCTTGCCTCAACTAAGACTAACCAGTGTTGAAGTGTGTCAAAACCCCACAACTACCTGGACTTACATAGAAAACATGCAGGTGTTTTTACATAGTCAGCACTGCATTAAAGAGGCTGCGTTGGTGGGGGTCTGTTGTTTCAGGTTGACAGAGTAACAGATTAATCAGTTTGGCGACTTATGAGACGCCGAAACAGTTATAAAACTATGAGGAAGTATGTTAGCACTGTGGAAAGTTATCAAGATATAATCTTTTCTTCTTTTGTTACGACGATTGGAAATGCACTGGTAGATTAGCTTACGTTGTTTTAATGCAGTGGTTCTCAAACTTTCTGGAGCCAAAGATTTAGTTATTCCATAACTGTCTATACTGAAGATTGATAGATTAACCTAGAAATCTATGAACAGAATCTTCATTCTTAGACAAATGTCTATTCTCAGTGGTCTGTATGTGAGGAGAAAAATAGTGCCAAAAGTGATACAAAGAATGGGTTATTTTTTGTCAGATTAATGATGAAAAAAATCTATAGATCAATAGATACTGACATTATGGCATGTATTAAAATTACAAACCAGTATAAATGCAGAACAAAACTAAAAGCTGAGATTCTCTTTGTATCTGTCTGCTGTGACCTGCAGTTTTTTTCTGCTATCAGTGAAACAGTTTCCACTGCTGGAGCTTTTACTGCGCCAGAATATCATGCTATGAATTCTTTCTGCAGTTGGAGGTGACGTTGTACGGCACTTTGCTGTCTGTCAAAAACTAACTGCAGAACACATCAGTGACCTTGAGATGAACAGGAGCTCTAATTAGCTTAAGAGTCTTTTCAAATTCGTACTGCACTGACATAAAACCGCAGCGTGTGTTTAATACATCCTGCAGATGTTCAGAAGCCAATATGGATTCTGTCTTTGTCACGGAGAGGGCATGCAGGAAGTGGGAGCTTCTTACTTTAGCCCAGGAAACCTAATACAAACCACACTGTTATTATCCCGGCTAACACGCAATGTGCCACTCTGCGGTGTTATCCCAGCCTGCCGCCCTCACTCCCAACCCCCCCTCCTGTTTAATTCCCCCAACACTGCACAGGGCAGAAATGCTGCAGTAATCGCAGGCAGAGGTGAGGACTGCAGGTTCACACAGCTTTGGTTTCAGATAATGTGTGAATTTATAAGGCCAATACTGGTACTTTATTGGATGACGTTGCTAATATTTTCTTATCTGTCAAGATTAAAAACCTCACTCACATTTCGACTGTGCAGCTCTCACTGAAACCCTGGATAATAATATTGATATTGGAGCCTCTTGTGCAGAATGCTTGAGGTGCTAATGTGATATTGTGTTCCACTTTTCCGTAAGAGTATGACTATTTCATTTTGAGGTTAGAGGGTTAGGAGTGGGGATGTGGATTGGGGAAGGTGGTTGTGAAATGTTGCCATGGCGGGAATGGGGTTTGAAGAATTGGGGGCCGGCTGTACAGTGTGGGGGAAATCCAATATATATGTTGATATATGGCTTTATAATAATGTTTTGCTGCACGTAGTAGAAGCAATAAATAACGTTATTTTTAAAAACAAACAAAACCAACTATCCTTTAAGAGGAAAACAGCACGGACTGAGCAATATCAGCAGTCTTTAATCCACACTTTCTTCCTCCCACAGTCATGCTTATACAGTATCACAGCACACAGCGCAGTGCCGGGGTTTATCTGTAAGAATATGGGTCATCTGCAATGATATCATTTTTCCAGCCACGGCTCCAGGCAAGCAGAGACAAGTGCTGGAGTCACTCAGACTGAACCTCACCTCTCCTCTCCTCTCCTGCTCGCCAGCTCCTCGCCTGTGTGCCAACGCAACACCCATGGGTCCTTCAAGAGCACCCAGGGGATCTCTATCGAAACGCCACTATGCTTCCTTTCACCCATTAGCAATTCCTGCGCTTCATTCTTCCTGTCAATCTGTAAAATTTGATACAGCGCCTCCCGATTAACTCTGTTCTTCTGCCTGCCACTTGCCCTCCCAGCTAGCCTTTTGCCAACCCCAGCTAGCCCAGCTGGATGTGCACTGTTGCAGTGTTATTGTAGGTGCTGTAAGCTGCTGAACACCCCAGTAAAGCCCTAAAGGCCCTTTCTAGTGCTGCCTAATCCACCTCATTGTGTGACGCCTACCAGCTATTCAACAAGTCTTAACCTCTCACGCCCCCGACACAATCCCCCAGCGCTCTAATGTTGGGGATCTTTTCCTCTGGGCCTGATGTCACTAGGTAAAGTAATATGGTTATTTACTATGTGGTTTTGTGCGACATGATGTGTAGATAATGCTGTCCTGGAGGGAGGCCAATGAAGAAATGGAAACTACTGTAGGGTTTGACTGATATGGGCTTTTAAAGGATGGTTGATCTGAGCTGGATGATAAATATTTTGCGCTAATATATAGTGGCTTATCTTTAAAAATGTCATTTCCAATGCCAAAAACGATATATATTTGAAATTTAAAAGCTGATAGCACCATCTTAAATGTGACTATTTGGGTGTAGTGTGCAGTGTTTTGACCATTATAG